GTAATGGAACGAATACCAATCTCTTTGCAAGCTCATTTTCTCTTTGGGTTTTCCCCCACGTCTTTTGAAATGGTACAGCTCATAATCTTCCACCATTTTTTTGTAGCTTTTTGCATGTCAGCATGTGCTCTAAATTTGTGTTTCTCTTGGCTGCCATATTTCTTTGATTGACTAAAAAAAGATTAAGTGTTTCCTAGCTAATGTGGTTTCTGTTCTGTTTAGACTTCCCCATTGTGGTGACTGTTTTACATTTGTTAAATTTCTCTTGGAAATGACAATAAAATCAACATCTTTACTTTTATGTATTCCTCTTTCCCCTCCCCTCTTTTTCCCTTCAGAATCAGTACCTTATTTAAACAGGTCAGGTTGGAACTATTCTAATTATCTGCAGAAACTTTTTGTCTTTATCATTTGTCATAATTTGTCATTATTATAGAACCAACCTTAAAGTTGGTTCTAACCAGATAGTGGTCTGACTGCACACGAACAGCTAATTCTGAGATGACTGCTGTGTCTGCAAACTGTTGCTTCTTGCCTATTAAGGTGTCAATTTCATTTCTAGTATATTTAGTACCTTCTAATTCTATTCTTTTTATTTAAAAAATAAGTATTCACAATTAATGGATATGAAGCTTTTGAACAGTCTACAGTGCCTTAGCCTTTTTAGTAATTTTATACTGAACCATATTTTTCCTGTTCCCATTTTTTATTTAAAGTCACTAAATATTGAAATATATATTAAGCTAGTTTGGAAGATCTTGTCAAGTTTGTCAGAGAACTTCTCTACTTTATCCTTTGCAATGCATATTTGTGTAAGATATAATTATCTTTACTGTGATTGCTTTGTTTTTATGTGGAGACATAACTCTTGTCAGGTGACTAGAACTTTGTCTCCAGGGCACTAGACAGCATTCTTGTTTCCCTGCAGTGGCCCTCTTGTCCACTGTCCTTGGCATTACCACCTCTGCTCCCTTGCCTGGTCTAAGGTCACTAGGCCCAATGGTCCTGTTGTTATAGGGCCTGGTCCTGCTTTGGTATTCCCTGCCTGCTGCTGTCTCCTGTGGATTAAAAGGGTTAAGGGGACTATGCCAAGGAGGTTTGGCTCAGGTTTTCTGTAGGGCAATCTGGCCCTTCTTTCGATACAACTGCACTTGATTAGGTAGAACTCTTCTCCCCACCCCAATAAATGAATTTGTCTTAGATACCAGAATTCCCATTTATGGCTTTCTTATATACATCATAAGTTTAAGAAGACAAAACTACAAATTTCAACTAAACAATGTTTTTTGTTGCCTTTGAGGTTCTCTGCCTGTTCTTTATTTGTATCTCCAAGGAGAACATGCAGGCCAAATTTCTTTATAGCCATTTCTTCTGCTTTTGTTGATAATAAGAATGTCAGTATGGTTGTGATTCAATTTCTGTGGTAGTAGATCAACTCTTTCATTGGACAGAGACTAAAATAAAAAGTACTAACAGCTGAATTAATGTTTGTAGTGGATTTAAAAACTGAGGTTTTTAGCATCCTCTGCTTGATTTCTTCCTGGTCAGCCATCATCACTGAAGATGTAGAAGGGGTTGCAAAGGACTAAAGGTTCATTTATATTTTTTTCCCATTTTATGAGTTGCTTTGGCAAAAAAAAAGTCAGCTAATGGCCAGTCTTCTAGTGATGAATTGATAACTTAGCCCAGCACATCCATCCTCAGACAAGTCTTCAGGGTCTCAAAATCATCTTTGCATCAAGAGTGGGACTTTAGTGAAAATGTTTTATGTCAATTCTGCAAATTCTGATATTTGTTATGTTGTTGTTGTTGTTTGGTAATTTTTTAGTCATGACTCTTCATGACCCCATTTGGAGTTTTCTTGACAAAGATACTGTAGTGGTTTGCCACTTTCTTCTCCAGCTCATTTTACAGATGAGGAAACTGAGGCAAACAGGGTTAAGGTCAAACAGCTTGTAAGTGTCTGCAGCCTAATTTGAACTCAGGAAGATGAGTCTTCTTGATTCCAGGCCTGGCCCTCTATCCACTGTGCCAGGGATCACAGAGACTCAGACATAACTGAAGTGCCTGGACATTTGTTATATTGTCATCTAAATTAGGGAGCAGAGGATTGGCTATGAGTAATTAAGACAATGAGATAGTACAGTTTTTCAGTTCTGGATCATCCATTTAGCCAGTTTTCTAATGTACTTTTTTTATAGGTAGTGACTGAAATACCAACAGTCTGTGATCTAAGCTTCATTTGGGTGGGATCCTGTTAAAAATGGCAACTACTGAACAATATTTTTTTTTCTGAGCCCCCTTTTACTTTGAAATCACTGAGTATCAAAAGATTTATTGAGTTAATTTGGGAAATCTTATCAAGATCTGATTGCTTGCAGGTTATTGCACAAATGCAAAGGGCTCTAGAAGGCTTTGGCCTCATGGACAAGATTTTAGGCAAGCTGGACAAGAGCTTCTGTGGTCAGTACAGTACAATAAAAGGGCACTGATGTTAAAATCAGAAGAACTAGTTTTGAATCTCGGCTCTGCTACTTATTGCTGTATGACCCTGGGCAGATCATTCTTCATTCATGGGTCTCAGTTTCCTTATTTGTAAAATGCTAGAGTGACCTCTGAGATCCCTTTTAGCTCCTAAGTCATAGTTCCCTTAAATAGCTTCTTGCATTAGATTCAAAAGGTCACATAGCTCGAGCTGTATGGGACATTTAGACCAGAAACTGAACCAATTGTCTCCTATATTCCTGTACCTAATGATAAAATTTCAGTGGATGAGTAGATATTAATTGATTAGTAGATTTTTGCTAGATGTAAAGCATTTCCTAATAATTAGAGCTGCTTTAAAAAATAGCTGCCTTATGAGGAATTGAGCTCCCTATCGTTGGAGATGTACAGAATTTGGATGGACACTTCTCAGGGATGTTGTAGAGGGTATTTATTCATCTATTAGAGGCAATGTAGCATACTAGATAGACACCCGGTTTTGAAGTCAGGAAAACCTGGTTAAATCCTGCTTCTAACGAAAACTGGTTATGTGACCCTGGTCAAATCATTTAACTTCTCCAGTCACCAGGTAACTCTCGAAGACCATAATTTGCAGAGCAGATACAGATCTGCATTGGTAGAGGAAGTTTCTTTACTTTGAAGTTCCTTACCCTTCTTACTTACTCCCTCATTCATTTATTCATTCATCAAAAAGGCAGCTGTGCTAGATCAGGGGTTTTTAACTTTTTTTTATGTCATGGATCCTTTTGGCAGTCTGGTGATGCCCATAGCCTCTTCCCCAGGATAATATTTTTAAGTATATAATTACATTAGAGCAAAAAAAGCCGTAACAGTGGCAATGGCTGCAGCTAGCTAATGGTGGCAGGCTGTTAGCTTGTCTGGTCATTGAAGGCAGTTTTGGTATTGTGCAGACATGTAGGCCTTACTCTCATGTCTTTGCCTCTCCAACACAAATGAGTAGGAAGAATTAAACAAACAAAAAACCACAGACGGAAATGAAACTGAAAATGAGTTGTCTGACTATAGCAGAGTGATAGCTGTTTTGGGATTGCAGCTGTTATCTGAGTCATAAATTTGAAAAAATACATGTGCCCTTTGGCTATGGGTGGCTGACTTCAGCTGACCAACTGAGGGGGTACAGGTTATTTAAAACAAAGGCTAAAAGGCTTGAGAGTTGGAATGGTCCTTAAAGTTTGTGGAGGAAATGGATAAAACCTGTGTGCTATGGTGAGTTTGGGGGAAATAGCTTCTCCCCAGAAAAAGTAAGCTTAGAGGTCAAAGAAAGGGAGCTACAAGGTTGTATATATGGACCCTCAGTCAGTATTTTGTTCAACAAGTCTATAGTTTCTACCTTGAAGAAGGCTTCTATTATCTTGGAGACCTCTTACCCCACCTGGATATTCTGATGAGATTGACTAGAGACTGACTTCCTATACCTTCTGCCCCACCAAGATGGTCTGATGAAATTCATTACATGAAAACATCCCCAAAGGAATAGCCAGATCTTTGGCAACACCAGAGACTATGAAGATAGTAATCAATAAAATCGAAGTTAACAATACAATCCCAAGGTTAAGACATTCTCCCCATTCCAAATCACCTGATAATCTGTCCCTGTTTTTCAACCTCTCAAATAAGGAAAATGGCTGAGCTGTTTCATGACAGAGTCCTTTTGCCGCCTATAATATTGCCTTAGCTATGTAAAATCACACACATTACCTATCTATCTACCTATCTACCTACCTGTCTGTCTGTCTGTCTGTCTATCTATTTTTGCCCATCAGCTGATACTATTTAAGCCTTTTATCTTTTATTTTTGCCTCTTGATTTATTGACTTCCAGCCAAGTGAACTGAGGTGGAAGGAATAACTCTCCAGGAGGAGTTTAGGATCCCTGGGTTGAGGAATTCTCCCAAGATTACCTAGTTCATTTTACTGATGAGAAAACTGAGACCCAGAGAAGTGATATAACTTGCCCAAGGTCACACAGGTAGCAAGTAGAAGAGCTAAAATTTGAATGCTGGTCCTCTGAATCTAAAGCCACAGTGTTTTTCCCACCAGGCACAAAGGTCCTTATGTTGCCCTGGCTCTCCTTTTCCCAAGCATAACAATTAAATAGAGAAGAAATGCAGAGTAATACAAAGAAAGAAGACCTGCCTTAGAGTAGGGAAGACCTAGATTCATCTTGACTCTGACGCTTACATGGTGTGTTCATGGGCCAGTCCCTGAACCCCTTAGTGTTCTAAGCAACTAATACCTTCAATTATAGATTAATTGACAATCTTCATGGAGGGGGTTTCCATGCCAAGAGTTCTCCATATAAATGAAATCGCAGACACATATAAAAACAAACAAAAGCAAAATTCCATGGATTAATAAATCAAGTAATTATTAGGTTAGTAATTATTAAACTAATTTTAAAATATTAAATTGATTAATAATTGTTACATTAAATAATCTTTGTTCCACTAAGAGGCTAGCAAAGGACATACTGACCAATTCAGCATACTTCTTGAATAAAACTTCAAGTTTTTCCTCAGCTGTTGGCAGTCTGTTCAGATTTTGCATCAGCAGGGTAGCTTCTTTGCCTTAGAAAGGGCAAAAAGATATGTTTTAGAAAGCAAACTGGAATAAATCAGCACTAAGCACAGGGTTCTCTATACCCTTAATGCATTTTTTCCCCTTGATGAATGAATGAATAAGGACTAGTGAATAAGAGACCATGGCAACCCTATGTAAGTATGAACTTTTCATATTCAATTTCTTAACTACAGTGCCTTGAAAGTAGTAGGTTTTCATTACATATTTGTTACCTGGTTTATTTAATGCATGGAATCAGGCTTGTAGTTAACTGTTAGTTTCTAATTTGAAGTTTAATCCTAATCTCCAGTCACCTCTGGAATTATCATTGATCTCGAGACAGAAAGAATTTCAGAGGCCCTCTAGTCAACTAAAGCCAATGGTGCTTAAGTGACTTGATCAAGGTCACATAGTAATTCTCAGAGATAGAATTTAAACCCATGTTCTTTAACTCCATAGACAGTGCTCTTTTGACTATCCCATATATTCTAGCAATCATCTTTTGTGTGATCTCCATAGGAACTGGGGAAATTTCTGTGCTACTTTCAATGGAGATGGATTGAATTGGTCTGAATATAGGCTACTTCTGAATATAAATTGAACCCCTGAAAAAGAGAAAAGAAATCATAAAGGTATTTCATTTGTTAAAGGCAAAGTGGTGTGAGGATACAATGGATTACATCTAGATAACCTGTTTCCATGTTGTCTCTCCCAATAAACTGTGAGCTCCTTGAGAGCAGGGACCATCTATTTGCCTTTCTTTAAATCCCCAGTGCTGTTGTTTGTCCTTCCTTCTCAAAGAGGGCCTTATAACTAAGGCATAAAGGTCCTTATGTTGCCCTGGCTCTCCTTTTCTCATCCATAACAACTAAATAGAGAAGAAATGTAGAGTAACACATAGAAAGAAGACCTGCCTTAGAGTAGGGAAGACCTGGTATCAGGAAGTTGATGCCATGACATGTGAGTGAATTGGAGTTAAGTGAGGGAGGGCTGTGCAAAGTCACCAGCCTCATTTTCTCCTTTGGAGCCATCTGAGTCCAGTGTCAAGATATAGATCAGGACAACTGCAGATGCCCCTTGCTCTTCCCCCCTCTTCTCCCCCTCCTCCCCCTCCCCACCATGCTAAGCAGAGTGCCTGTCACATAGAGTCCTTAATAAATGCTTGTTGACTTGACTTGATGAATGCATACAAAAAATGAATCGAAAATTACAGAATCAGGATCTAAGACCTCAACAGGATATAACCTATAATTAGATGAAATTTGAGTAAATTTAGTAAAGTATACTAATTTGGGATGAAAAGAATCAACTCACAAAGGAAGCTCAAAGCTTTTTGCTAGCCACATATACAATAAAAGAAATCTGGAACAAAGTGCCGAGGGCTACTTAGAATTTTTGTCCTTTGCTTCTCCCTGTTCCTATTTATTTTCATGGGAGACTAAAAAAGATCTCTGAGTTGAGAAAGGTGAAGGAAAAGCTCAACTTGAGACAGCCTTTGAGCATTTGTTGAAAGGGCAATCCTAAGAAATTATTCTGAATGGGTTTAGTTGGGCAATCAAAAGTTAAATCAGAGTGATAAGGATTTTCTAATCCTAAATCAGACAGAAGCTTAAGAGGGAGAGAGAAGGAGAGGGAGAGAGAGACAGAGACAGAGAGAGAGAGAGAGAGACAGAGAGAGAGACAGAGACAGAGAGAGAGAGACAGAGAGAGAGAGACCTTGACCTTGTTGGGAAGAGGGTAGATTCTAACTCACTAATCACTACTGTCAGGCCTTTCAGTATCTTGGACTATGGTTCATATGGGTCTAGTGATGTGAACTTGAAAATGGCATCTATGTGCTCTCTAATACTATTTTACTTGTGTTCTTAGTTCAGCCTTCTGAAGCCCAACATATTTAGATTTCTCTACTTATCTTGGATTTTGCCTTGTTAATAGCCATATTTAAAATGTCCTTTAAAATCAAAAGATTATTTTCCTTGGAAGAGAATTTAAAAGTATAAAAAATTTGGGCATTGAACCTTCTCTTTTTCTGTCTATTATCATCTCTCTATCTCAAGTAATTCTATCCTTCATTTTTACTCCTTGATCTCTTTTTGTTGCCCTTAGTATATTCCATTCTCAGGCTTTTCTGCATTTTAGTGTTCTTAGTGGTATTCTTACAGGATGGCATTCTTACAGGATTCTTACATGCTTCTGCATTCATCTCCAGCTACCAGCCATTTTTAGTATATTATTTTTTAAAAATCAAAGTTGGTCTATCAATTCCTTGTGTATCTACATCATTCTTTTGAGATATGTGTCTCATTATATGTATTAATATGATATTATTTACTATGCTATACACAATTAAAATAATTTTGAAATATTAAAAATTCTAGGTTGTAATATCTAGAAACAGTTACTTTTAGTGTCCTGGGTACATAGTAGGTATGGGGCTGACTGGCACAGCCAGCATTGCCAAGCATGGAATTGAGTTTAATACATATTTGTTGATGAGTTGATTGTGTCAGGAAGGTACCAAATTTAACCAGGGCAAGCTTCTGGGTCTATTAAATTAATTCCTGAAGTTTAACTATTGGAATTCTTCATCCTCTGTACCCTGAAAAACATGTCTTATTTCTGAAACACAAAGCAAAGGAAACTAGGTAGTAACATAGATTGTCTTCCTTAGGTCCCTATGACCCTTACTATACTAGGGAATTGGACTGGACAATCATTCCAGAAGGAAACCTGGAGTTCTCCTTTACCTTGTTCCATAGAAGCTAGATACCTTGAGCAAGCTCCCAAATTTCTCTTTTCTGGGTCCTTACCTAGTCCCTCTAGCTCTGCATATTATAAACCCAGGGATGCACTGGAGCCAGCTCTCATTACTGGCAAGAGCAATTGTTAAATCAGGGCTTAATTTATTGTGGTGTTGTCTTAAGAAAGTGATGTAGAGAATGTTAACAATGCAGGTCAAACTCAAAAATGTGTCCTGCATATTGTTGTAGAAATCCATTACACATACATATTGTTGTAGAAATCCATTAATGCCAGAGTCTTCTGTCTCCCTGTACTCTTTCTGGACTCAGTTTATGTCTCCTCTAGGGCCACAGTTGACAATCCTTTTTCTCTTGTTAAAGATGCCACCTCTCTTCTATTTAGTGATCTCTGACCTGTTTTTTATTCTATGGTGGAATAGTGGACTTTTTTTTGCTGAGTCTTAGGGGTCAGAACTAAGAACAATGAGTAGATAATGCAGAGAGGAAGATTTGATTTGGTGTTCTGTGTGGAAAACTTTTCTAACAATTAGAATGGCATGAAAATAAAAGGGCTCTCTTGGGAGATGATGGGATTTGGAGACAAGATGTTGACTTGCTAGTAGATGTCTGCTAAACAACTGTGTGTCCAGTACTGTGCTAAACCCTGGGGATATAAATAAAGACAATAGACTGTCCTCAAGGAGTTCCCGTTCTAATAGTGAGACAACATGAAAAAAATTATGCATATAAGATATAAACAGTGTAAAGGGAAGGTAACCTCAGAGAGATGGTTGGTGTGGGTTTTGGGGAAAAGGAAACCTGGAAAGTCCTCCTACAGAATGTGAGATTTGAACTATATATTGAAGAAAGCTAGGGAAGCCAATTAGTAATGTTGTAACAGGGATTCTTGGTCAGATAACGACTGAACTACAAGGCCTCTGAGGTCTATTCCAACTCTTTCATTCTATGATTAGAATTTTATATTATGGGGGTTAAAAGAATATTCTTTCTTCCTCCTTTTTTATTCTTAAGACTTCACCTTAAGCCCTATTGCTTTTCAGCATTCAGCTTTTGTCTTTGATTGCCAACCCTAACACACAATGTTGCTTTTCACTATCTATGGTGATTGTTACCTTATCTTTCAGGATATCTCTACCTTCTAGGTAGGGCTCAATGAAGCAGAATAGGAAAACTATATATCTTTTTAAAAATCAGGTGGTAGTTGGTGGTGATATTGGTTCATTAAGAATTTTTCCCCCAAAGGAACACTCATTAGTTGAATAGGGAGGTCCAGATAATAACCATTGGGTGTCAAGGTATATTCCTTCCTAACCATAAAGTATGAGCTAGAAGGGAACTTAGATTTAAATTAAAACCTTTCATTTTTACAGATGAGAAAACTAAAGTACAGAGAAGTGACATGTATCCATGGTCACAAAGCTAGTAAGTATTAAAGGTGGCACTTGAACTCAGTGCTTCTGGCTCTAAACCTACCATTATTTCCACTACATCTCTGCTTCCACCTGTACCACACTGTCTCATAGGACATTCTTTCCCTAGGAAAATTTGCTTTAAAATATTAGCAGGGTTGGGGAACCTGTGGCCTCAAGGCCACATGTGGCCCTCTAAGTCCTCAAGTGTGGCCCTTTAACTGAATCCAATGGGATTCCCCACCCCTGAATTAGAGTCTTTGTCATATCCTGTTTGTCCTTATCTATACCTAGCCTTTCCATTTTACATTCCTATAAAGATAGATAAGTCACAGAATTATAGAAAGTTACAGATGGCAGGACTGCTATCTTCTTCAACCTTCTTATTTTACAGATGAAGAAATTGAAAAATTTAGTGAACTGTTCATATTATTTGACCCAGTGATAACCCTACTAGGCCTATACCCCAAAGAGATAGGAGAAAGAGGAAAAATGCCCATATGGACAAAAAATATTTATAATAGCCCCTTCTTTTTTTGTAGTGGCACAAAACTGGAAACTAAGGGAGTTCCCATCAATTGGAGAATTAATGAACAAACTATGATATACAAATTATTGAATACTGGTACCAAATCTGGCCTCAGACACTTACTAGCTATGTGATACTGAGCAAGTCACCTAATCCTGTTTGCCTCAGTTTCCTCAACTGCAAAATGAGCTAGAGAAGGAAATGACAAACCACTCCAATATTTTTGCCAAGATGATGCTAAATGGCATCATGAAGAGTTTGACATGACTGAAAAATGACTGAACAACAGCAAACAGTAAGTGGCTGAT